CTCCATAAATAAGGAAAAAGAGAAGCTTTATGGGAGCGAATTCCTTAGTCGTCAAGTCCTTCCGGAAGCGAATAAACCAAGATGGGAGAATCATGGTGGCGGAGGCTGCTGCTGGAGATGGGGGGGGGGGGGGGGGGTAGTGGTGGCGGTGGTGGCGGAGGCTGCTGCTGGAGATGGGGGGGGGGGTAGTGGTGGTAGTGGTGGCGGTGGTGGCGGAGCCTGCTGCTGGAGATGGGGGGGGGGGGGGTAGTGGTGGTAGTGGTGGCGGTGGTGGCGGAGGCTGCTGCTGGAGATGGGGGGAGTAGGTGGTGGTAGAGGAGGAGGAGGAGGAGGAGGAGGAGGAGGAGGAGGAGGAGGAGGAGGAGTAGAAGGAGGAGAAGGAGTAGGTGGTGGTGGTAGAAGAGGAGGAGGAGGAGGTGGTGGTGGTGGTGGGGGAGGAAGAGGAGGAAGAGGGGGAGGAGGAGGAGGAGGAGGAGAGGGAGGAAGGGGAAAGGGAGAAGAAGGAGGAGGAGGAGGAAGAGGAGGTTCAGTTAGCGGCCAAACCTGGAAGATAATGAGATGTAATTAGGTTAATAGGTTTCATGATTCAGGTTTCAACTACAGCTTCATCCCTGAAAAGAATTGATAATTATATAAACCTACCCACAAACAATCAAAATTGGGTAATGATAAATATCTATTTACATGTATAGGTTACGAAGGATGAATCTATTAAAAAAATACACCAAAATAAACCAATACACCATACAACACCAAAAATGAGTTTGATTTCGAAACATAATATCAGTATCATTGTAACAACTTCAATAACAACTTCAATAACAACTTCAATAACAACTTCAATAACAACTCCACAGCTGAACACAGATCAGTATTACTTAACTGTTTATGGTTTTTATCTTTGCATCAAATTCACTGACCTTGCGTGGTTAAATTTTGCTTAGATTTCAATAGAAACTACCCAACATTTGACTATACGGTATGCAGATTTTTACACAGTATTTAGATGGACAAGGGGCAGATAGATTAGATGGACAGATAGACACTAAATGCACATATGTGTATACATGTGTGTGTGTGTGTGTGTGTGTGTGTGTGTGTGTGTGTGTGTGTGTGTGTGTGTGTGTGTGTGTGCGTGTATGTATGTATGTATGAATGAATGAATGAATGAATGAATGAATGAATGAATGAATGAATGAATGTATGTATGTATGTATATATGTATGTATTTTTGTATGTATATATATGTATATGTATATATATATATATATATATATATATATATATATATATATATATATATACATATACATATACATATATACATGTAGATGAGTATATATGCATATATATATATATATATATATATATATATATATATATATATATATATATATATATATATATATATATACATATATATATATATATATATATATATATATATATATATATATATATATATATATATATATATATATATATACATATACATATACATATATACATGTAGATGAGTATATATGCATATATATATATATATATATATATATATATATATATATATATATATATATATATATATATATATGTATGTATGTGCGTGTGTGTGTGTGTGTGTGTGTGTGTGTGTGTATGTGTGTGTGTGTGTGTACGTATATATTGTATATATAATATATACATATATGTATATATGATATATGTATATGTATATGCATATATAAATATATATATAAAGTATGTGTGTGGGGTGGGGGTGTATGTGTATGTGTGTGTGTGTAGGTATTTGTGTGTGTGTGTGTGTGTAGGTATGTATGTGTGTAGATGTGTTTAGGAGCATGTGCGTGTGCATGTATGTACTTTGCATGATTATCAATACGTATAAGTGCATAATACTGTTACGGAACATTGTGACTTCGCCGACTGCAAGAAACCAAACGCACACTCGCGCTTACAGGACTCAAATGAGACTCTGAATGAGTGTGTCCAGCTGCAACTCTGCCTGAATTGGCCGCTTTACGAAGCAGAGGCAAGCTCCTGCCGTCACAAAAATAAAATACTTAGCGTAAAAAAAACAGGAGCTTGGTGGACATCGTTGACATTCACGACAAATAAGCGAAGATCCTGGAACTTGTACCGAGGAACTTGAATGTCAATAGAGCTATACTATTTCCATGGTATTCTAAGTCAACAAAAATGAACGTTTCCTTGCAAGCGCTTTCATAAAGCAAGGGGAATTTGCCAAGAAGACTTTACAGTGGAGGTGAACGAACTCAAACAGGGCTCAAAAGTCCTTGTTACGTTCGAGTTGGATTGCGTGTGTGTGTGCGTGTGGGTGTGCACGTGTGTGTGCGTATGCGCGTGTGTGCTTCCTATTGCGCTTCGGCACTGAATGAAGTAAACCACGCGGAAAAATAAATGAATAAAGTGAAAAACAGAAGATTAATGGGATGTGGAGAGAGAGAGAGAGAGAGAGAGAGAGAGAGAGAGAGAGAGAGAG